TTGCACAATTCCATTTACTTCTATATATTGTACAGAATAATTTATTTTAGAAAGTATAAAAAATTTTATTTAAAAAAACGCAAAAGTATTTACCTTCGTGATTTAATACTACAATTCGCTTGCTTGCTTCTTCGAGATCGTTATCATGATTCCTCTAAGTAGTGTGAATGTAAAGGCTTTAAGATATTGTTCGTGCCCATTATAAAAATAAGTATCATATACTAATCGATTCATACCAGCTTGATAATATAGTAAATACACAAAATGAAAGATCCCAAACATCATCCCGTGCATCATATATGCGTATTTGACGTAGCAGAGAGACTCAAGAACAAACTGCTACTAGACGATCTGCAGATGCCTTGCGACACCGACGATCAAGACAAGAAGAAAGAGCTGATAATCAAGAAATGTTTCAAAAAAGAGCTGCTAAAGTAGCTAGAATACGTACTATCAATGCCACCCGAGCCAGAAATTATAGACAGCAAGAAACTGAAGATGATACTCAAAATCGACGATCAGTAGAAGCTGAGCAACAACGTGCAAGATGTCAAACACAAACTCCTGAGGAAGCAATATTAGAAAGAGTTACTAATGCTAATCGAAATCGACAATCAAGATATCTCCAGATGACCCAACTAACCTCAACTTATCAAGAGGCATTATCATTTACTAACTCATTTCCGGATGAAGTTAATGTTGGAAAAATGGATGTCATTTGCGATGCATGTGGCGCTCTCCATTTTGCAGGTGAACGTACAGGTCGAGAATCAAATATTTTTTCTTCGTGTTGCCAGAAGGGTGCAGTTGTTCTTGAAAAATCTCGACCATTTCCAGACGAATTAAAAGCATTATTTGAGAAAAGTTATCCACTATCATCAAAGTTTTTATGATGTAACAGACATTTGTAATACTTAATTTATACTGTATTGCAATGGCAATGCATATGCAACGTGAGTCAAGCTAGTAATTAATAAAATAGAACAAATTAATAGGAAATTAAATTTTTAATTCTTTTATATTTTATAAAATATAAAAGATTTATTTGTCTTTATTCAATTTTAAATTATAATAGAAGTAATAATTTATATTTAGAATAATTTGATTTTTTTCATATATTCAATTAATTTTTTGAATATTTGTATATTATAAATTGATTTTTATTTAATGGTTTAAATTAATTAGTTTGATAGATATGTGATTTTATTTTGACTTAAAAAATTAAATAAATATTGAATTATGAAATACTGAATTTTATTTAATTAAATATGAATATATAATTTTTATTTATAATATTTTGATCAATTTATTTTATTTAAATATTTAATTTTAAATTAATATAATTCTTGTAAATATTTGGTTACAATTTCATCAAATCACAAGTATAACATTTTAAAAATATTGAAAATATAGCTAAAATATAAATAAAATTCAATATAATATAAATTTTTATTTAATTTATTATTATTTTTATATATTTTAAATACTATTTTTTTTAAAAAAATTTTTTTTGTTATAATTAATTAATGAGTATTAATATATTAAATATTTGATAAGTATTAATAAAATTAAATAAAAATAATATATTATTTTTATTATTTAATATATATCAAATTGTTGATAAGTGTCAATGAGATAAATATTTATATTTGAATATTTGATAAGTGGCAACATATCAAATAACACTATTTTAATTAGTGAAAAACAATTATAAATTATTATAAATTATTATATTTTTTAATAATATATAAAAATCAATAATAAAAATTTAAAAATTTTTTTCTTTATATACAATATATACTTGCATTATTTTATTTTTACTTTTTATTTTTATGGTTTTTATAACTTAACTTAGAAAAATAATCCATAAAGGTAATCTGTTGATTTTGTTCAGTATATAAACAATACAATATAAATTACTTTTAAAGATTTTGTATTGTTAAGAAATAATAAATAAAATCAAATAGGTTTATATTCACAACTATTTTCTTGATTGTAATGATTCATATGATTTGATAAATAAAGAATGCCAGTTTAATTGTAAATTTTTTTTAAAAAATAAAATAAATAATGCAACTTTAATAATTTTTATTCAAGTATCATAATTTACATTTTGTTTAATCATTTAAATTATTTGTTATGCTTTCTGATTAGATATTTTATATAATAACAACTTCAATTATATTGCATCACAACTTCTCCATTACCGGTTTGAATCTGTATTTGTCATATGGTGTGACTATTTATCTCTTAAAATATTTTCATACTTATTTTTTTTTTAATCGACCAACGAGAGTATTTTTACTATAAAAATAATTTAATTATGGATTTATATAGTTTAAATTCCTGAATTTTTAATATTAATCATATGATTAAATTTTTTTAAAAAGATACCATTTAATAGCAAAGTGTGTAATAAGTTTCCTTTTTAAATAACTGACATAGTTTTAAAAATTCCACAATAGGCTTTATTTAAATAAATCACAATGTTATTTTTTTATAATTTCAAATACTTCGTAATCCTCTATCGAAAATTTTCCATAATTTTCTCTAATAGGCCTTTCATAAATACGCCTTTCATGAATCTTGTCTTCATGAAACAAACCGTCCGAATTACCACTGTCACCTAATTCCATACGTAATTTATCACCAAAGTTGATACTATAACTATTATGATAACTATAATTGTAGTAATAAACAGCGCGATCGGTATCTTCCACTCTGCTAAGAATTGAATTCTGAATACTACCATTTTTTAGCGAAAAAATAAAACTATCTTTTGTTTTCATCCAACTTCCACTAACAAATTCATAAGGACTATTGTCAATAACTGGAATATTCCATTCCAAAGGATTATATCCACCAAGAATTTCATCAGTTCCGGCCACCTTTATGACCACTACTGTGTTTGAATGGCCAAGACACATGTCCCAAAAAGTTTGTGGGGAAGAATCATCGCGACTCCCTCTCATAATCAATTGAAATTTGTACGGAATATTTCTTTCTGAATAAGTTGTTTCTTTGCGATCAATCCAAGACGAAATTTCGGCGACATGTTCTTTAGTAATTATAGTGGAAAGTGGATTAATGTCTCGATCAGGTAATTGCATATCTCGGATCTTTCTTGGTGGCAAAATAGTTGAGTTAACCGGCTCATCAGGAAGCATCAAATGTTGTTTTAAATCACTCCAAAGATTTTTATCAAGAATTTTCTTGTATGGTTTAACCTTCTTTAAAAGTTCTGCGGCGGAGAATTGAAAGTAACGAATATGAGGTAAGCAATGTTGCAAGGTTATTTTTAAAGTTGAAAAATCATCATTTGACCATTCTTCGAGTTTTATAGGCAGCGTGGGATTCTTGGAAATTCCCCATTGAATAATCTTTTCCCAAATTTTAATCTCTTCTATTTGCAAGTCATCTTGTTTAATGAGAGAAATTAGAGCAGATTCCTGAAGGGAATTGAAATCCTCAGCATCGAATATGATATTGGGATATTTTACTAAAATATCATTGCAAAATTTTTCTAAATCTTTGAAATTGTTGCTCTTAAAAATCGAACGATAAACAAATGAAAAGTGAGTACGTAACCAATGAGCTTTGTTTTTAAGAAGATTGCTTTCTAGTTGCTTGGCTAATTCTTCAAGTTTAATACCATCAGCAGATATCATTAAATCAAAAATAAACGCATCGTCTACGTTTTTTAGAATAACGATTCCACTATATATATATCTAAAATATATACGTAAAACATGTATATATGAGTTTCCACTATAATTGTATTCACATAAATTAGTAAAAAAAAAATCCCTACTTAATAATAACCGCAAAAACTTGAGATGTTATATCCGGTAATAGAATCATCTTATTACTGTCGTTCTTAGGAATTTTGGACAATTCCGTGCGAAAATAAGAAGACCGATAATATAATACTGCAGAGTGAGCAGTAAACGATTTCTTATCTTTGCCTTTACCAACTTCAATTATCACGTCATAATATATCTCGTCATTAAGGAGTTCTGAAAAGTCTTGGGAAAGTTTATCAAAATGTTTAAGAGACATTCTTGTAAAATAAATTACGACGGTATAGAATACCATTTAAAACGCAATTTGTGCGACGTGATGATAACGAATTATGTGATGTTATGCGATAGGCTCGTGCGATACAGTATACTGTATTAGGTTTGTAGCATGGTAAATTTATTTACAATATGCGATAAGTTTTATCATCAAAATTGATTATATATATATTTCGTCTCATGTTTTCAGATAAAATAAGTTTTAGGAAAGGAAGGTGGAAAGTTGAAAGACAAGTTTATTTTTTTTCAATGATAGGCAAGCTCTCCTATTCATACGTCTCCAAATACGATCTGATCTTCTTTCTTCCAATAATCTGTGACATTAACTTCCACCATTACTTCTAACACTTCGCGAACTTCGCACACTACTACTTCTACTAGGTCTTGGTCGTCTGCTAAGTCCTCCAGGAGGACCACCTTTCCGTTTTAACAAGGGACCACCGGGTCCGTAGCCTATGGCGTTCTCATATCTAAAATATTAATTCGAGTTAAAAATTTGAGGGTCGATCTTTTGTTAATTGATTAGTCAGTACGCACCTATAAAAACAATCATAATTATCTCCGAAGTTTGTTTGGATCGAGCACGGACCCGTGGATCCAATAGTGGGGAACCAAATGTGATGTAAACCGGTGAACGCGTTGCCCAAGAATAGGCCGTTTTTGGTGAAGAAGACACCACCTGTCGCTGGGTTATATCTGTCAATGACGAAAAATTTTTTATAATTTGCTTCCTCGTGTATATGCAATAAATATTTCTTTTTTCATGTGATACTCACGCACACCCGATCGTATCGCCAACCTCACCCCAAGCTGAGCCATAATTTTGACCACCTGTA